ACTCAGAAGAGTCTGGAGTGAAACACTTTCTTTTTTTAATACAACCTATTTTAATAAATGAGAAAAATACTGAACCGTTAAAGCGTGAGTTTGCCATGTGCTGGAGGCTGTTTGTGTTGTTCGTATCAGGGAAGTACCTGTGTAATTGGGAGGCCGTCTGATTAAATGAAATTAAACGAATATTAAGGTCAGAATTTTTTGACTACTCCCAAAGTCATTTGATGAAGGCTTGGGGGAGCATACCACACTTTGGGAATCACTGATTGGGATGAACTCTGACTGCGCCAGGAACATTTGTGTTCTTCTTAAAAATAACTAAATAATAAAAAGATAAATAATAAATAAATAAACAATAAATACATTGTCACATATTCTCAATCAATTAATTGACATGACATTAATTGACCAGATCAAACCACCTGAAGTGTGTTGAGTAATTGAAAAAGAACATATTGTTAACACTGTTCGTTTGTAGTGGCCTCGCTCCAATTCCTGTCTGATTGTAAACATGTCTGTTCTTCGCTAGTTTTCATTTCACATTTTTTGTTCATCAAGGTACAAATAATGTAGATGTACCCTCAAAGGTACAACAGTGGTTTAAGGTTCAATTCTATGCCTTAAATAAGTTTTTTTCCTGGTGGAAAGTATGTATTTGCACCTTTTTGAAACCTAATGATAAACAGAACACTAAAATAAAAGACCTGGAGACGAGACGGGGTATGTGGAGTCAATACAACTTAAGAGATACAATTTTAATGGATTATGGTTCAATTATGTTCCCTGACTGAAGGTACTGAGATGTACCCTTGAGAGAACCACCGTAAAGACAAGAAGGGAACTGCCCCAGTGACAATTTCGTACCTTTACTTCTGAAAGTGTGCCCCACCTTGCACTTTAGCACTGCCACCCTGCTGAAACTCCCTCCACCCCTTTGCTGACATCTTCTACAAACACCACTGACTATGACTAGTCAAAATCACACCCATACGAATTCTAAAGTCAAAACCAAGTGAAGACCAAGTCAAGATTGTGACCAAGCCTTTAAGTAGTCTTTAACTGCTACTCAAGGATTTAAAGGTTAGAATATGGCTCCAGGAATCTTTTTCAAATTCAGTCAGATGTGGATGTAGGTTTTCTCAGTTTTTCAGAAGACAGTCGTGCATCAGATCATCCGCCATGCAGAGTTGCTTGAGTATGAGTCACTGTGTGCAGATGACAGTTGAATGGAAATACAAATATAGTTGTTCGCTATAGAGGGGGAACTGTAGTTTGTCTTCCTGAACTACAATTGGTAAGATTAATGGCCAAGAACAAATACTAGGTCCAAGAAAAAGTCAAAGACGATAAAAAAGTCTGGAATACAGCATTACACTGTTAACTCCAGCCAAGGCATATACAGTAGTGGACTGAATATTATCATCAAAATATTGAATAAGGCTAAGTTTTGGTGACTGTTTTTTCAGCTACACTAATCAAATGTGCTTTGAATTTGTAAGATCCAAGCGTGTCAGTTACAAGAAGTAGTGTTGCTACAAGAAGTAGTGTTGATGTAACATATTTATTTGCATTTCATGTACATTCAAAACATTCAAAATACATTCTTACAGTATACATCAAAAATTAAAAAAAAAATTGGTGGAGCAGCAGTGAGCATGAAATCTTTGTAAAATATTATCTTAAAAGTTTTAAGAATCTGTGAAGAGCCTACTGGGTGATTGGGTATATAAACCTATATGCATGACAAAGTAACTCCTAAATCTCCTAAATTTTGTGAAACACAGTTTAACTCACTAAAACGAATCTGCATGGGTCTTAGACTGTGCAGTCAGCTAATTTTAATAAAAATGTTCCTTCTGTCACTCTTCTCCCTTGTTTGCACTGCTGTTCAGACGTGTGAGAGAAATGATGTTACATGAAATTAAAGCACTATCTTTTGGTTGTCATTTCAGAAGGATATAGAATATAGTGGCTGTGCGAATAAGGGAACAAATATCTTACATTACGCAAAGGAATAAATACGTTACACACAGTTCTACACAGAAACCATCAGGTGGATATGAGTTTACACTCTGTAATTACATCACTGACTGCACCTCTAGGCTACATTCAGCACCTCTCCCAATGTGTAATATTAGAGTGTCTACCCTGTATGTGGGAGAGGAGGCAGGGGGCAAGGGTGGTGGGGACACGGGGGGATGTGGTGAGGGCATGATGGGTGGAGGGCTGAGTTACATGAGGGAAAAAAAAGTGTATTATTATTATTATTATTATTATTATTATTTTCAAAAGTCCTTTTGAATTTGAAGTGTGAGTTCTTTTCTAACAAGTTTTCAAAATAATTTTTTTTTTCAAATCACAGTCTCTCTCTCTTTCTCTTTATTCTAACTGTAGCGTGTAAGTCTTTGTGCATGTGTTTGTGAGAGCGTGTGTGTGTGTTGTAGTGTGTTTGTCTGTGCAGCAGCTGTTGGTTTGAGAACTATTGGATGATGAGGCTCTACATGAGTTCAGGCTGAAGCGAGCAAGCTTCACACTACAATAGTCACACTGTCCCTGGGGCTCAGAGCCAGACACACACACATTCACAGATTTGAACAAAACCCCTGATGAACTGGAGGGGAGCCCAGGGGAGAGGGGCCATGGGGACCCAGCATACCGTCCTCATCAGCCTTTCAATAGTGCTGAACTATCCAGAATATTTAACCATTGCCGCATTGCTTCAGTTACAGCTTGTGTAAAATGTTGCAAGTAAACTGAACTTCAGAGTGTAACAACTTTCATTTTAATCCATATTCCCTGAAGCAATTTGGTGAAAATAAAGAAGAAAGTGTAAATTTAACTTTGCATTTAAATTTGTTTACACAGATTTACACCTCTACAACAATGTTAATTTCTGCTAGCACCTTTATTTTATTCTAGTAGTATGTTGTCACTAGGCTGTTCTAAATTAATTAAATTAATGCAGACATTTGAAGCATTCCACGTTTTATTTGAGGCTTGTAACAGACATTAACATATATTTTACTGTTTAGCAGTTTTGCAGGGACTCTTAGTGTCTTGGCACAGAGTTGCAGGTGTTTTCCATCGCTAACTGACTGAAATGCACTGGTCAGGCTAACACTTGAAATTGCAGTCAGTGACTTCTCTAGGACGTTCAGAAAGCCTAGAGTGACCTTTTTCTTACAAAATTAGTCCCACCCATTCTAAATCAAATGTGATTGGATGATTCCTGTGTAAGTTCTTAGTTATGTCTTAATTAGTGTTCAATCTGAAATGTTAGGTCTTCAGTTCAGCTCCTGAAGTCCTAACCAATGGGAAGAGCTCTTTTGGCTGTATCACCCTAGATACCACATTAGGAGGAATCTTGACTGAATAGATTTCTACTGGGATTTTCAAGAATTTATTTGTTTCCACCCAAAACTTGACAATGAAACAAGAGTAGTACTACAATACTTGAAGTGGTTAGCTACAACGAGCATGGTTGGTGTCCTAAATAATTGAAATATTTCACAGAAAGCATTAAGCTTTCTCTGTAGACAGGAAGGCCCTGAGGGTTCCCTTCTAATGTAATACATATCATAGCTATACAAAAGAAAAACAAAAAAAAGAAGTATTTTTCAATTTATTTTTCTACACCATTTAAGCACAGCAGCTCTTTATATTGTCTGAAAATGTCAAGATGAATGGAGGAACAGAAATTCCGAAACTGCTTGGAATAAAATGTCTTTAACTTCTATTGAATGTAAAGAATTTTTTGCTTTCTCCTGTAAAGTCATCATTTTGGTGATACTTTTTTTTTGGACAGTGATGATATGTTGTCCTGTGTTCTTCATCTATGGTTGCATCCAAATTTCTCTAAATTCTATCTCTAAATATCTATCTATCTATCTATCTATCTATCTATCTATCTATCTATCTATCTATCCACACTATATGGCCGAAAGTATGTGGACGTCTGACCATCACACCTATATGAGCTTGTTGGACATCCCATTCAAAATATTAGTCTGTGGGGATTTGTGCCTATCTAGTCAGAAGAGCATTTCTGAACTATTGTTGCTCCATGATGCATCCATGTCACAGTAATAGCACTTACAGTTGACTGGGGCAGATCTAGCAGAGCAGAAATCTAGAAATAGTGAGGCATTTCTGTGTAATGGGAACAGGGTACTGTAAAATATAAAGTCTACTGAGTAATATTCTCTAATATCTACTATTCTATGTAAAATTGTTTTTGTGTGTTTCTATATACTATGCATTGTTTTTAATGTGTTTTGTGTTTGTGTGTGCCACTTTTGTTTGGCAGAGCTTTGCCCTAAAACTGATGCTACATTGCAAGCAATATAGCATGCAATGATGGCCACTTACAGTTTGTTTTGTTTTTTTGTATTTGTATGTATCATCTCTGTTTTGTATTGCTGTTTTTTAACCTGACAAAACATACAATATCATTGTACGCATACTGCATGCAGGACTGCAGCTGAATCTTGAATGAACTGATTTGAAGTAATTGTATTGAATTGTGTTTCATCAGTCTGGCTTAAGTACACCTGCTCTTGCTTACTATACTCAGAATTAAGCTTTTTATATCAGCCTTCAATTTTGTATGATCGCCCTTCAGCTAACAAAATGCACAAATAATCAAAGCTCAACAGAACCCGTCTCACTGGAATGGGGCTAAGGCACTATGTCCCTGAGAGTGCTGTGTCCTCTTTGGGAAAAAAGCAAAAAAACAAACTTAAGACAAAGCTTCTTTTGTTTTTCTATGCTGCGGCCTCTGAATCTCTCTGTGTTTCATCCGCAGGCTCTGATCTCGGCAAAAGCTCAACAAGCTGAGGATGGCGCTGATGCTGGGCCTGGCCTGTGCCTGACCACAAACACAGCGTCCGTGCCATCTGCCCGCACGTCGCCCTCAGCGCTGTCCCCGTCCCAGAAAGGAGAGATCAGAGGACAGACAGAGAGCAGCAGAGCTTGAGAGAGTCCTGCCCTCGTCTGCGGACGCCATGGCTGGGAGGTCGCCGCGGCAGCGGGGTCACGGACTCTCCTGGCCTCTCCATCTCCTCCTCCTGCTGCTGCTGGCCAGGAGCCCCCAGGCTCTTGCCATTCCTGGCTACAGCACTGACTCTTCCAAGAAGGAGATCGCTATAGAGGGGGACCTGGTGATCGGAGGCCTGTTCCCTGTGCACCAGAAGGGCGAAGGGGTGGAGGACTGCGGTCGAATTAATGCCCAGAGGGGCATCCAGAGGCTGGAGGCCATGCTGCTGGCTCTGGATGAAATCAATAAGGACGACAGAATCCTGCCTGGTGTAATGCTTGGCGCCCACATCCTGGACACGTGCTCAAAGGACACTTATGCGCTGGAGCAGTCACTGGAGTTCGTACGGGCTTCGCTAACCAAGGTGGACGATAGTGAGTATACCTGTCCGGACGGATCCTACGCAATTCATGATGACGTTCCCCTCGCCATCTCTGGTGTGATTGGGGGGTCCTACAGCGACGTGTCGATACAGGTACAGCTTCTGTTTTCTAATAGTGTTTCCCAGTTGATGGACTTGTTCATTTTGAATTACAAACTATGTTTCACATTTAATTATATCAATCCATATGACAAGGAAAACTGAAAGGGTTCCGTTTTAGCCCAAAGCTAATCAATTCACAACTTTAATCATATGTATAAGTTCAGTTGAAAGTACATGTCTCTCCAGCTCCTATAGTTATTCATGTGCAACTTGATTCACAGTTCATACACGCTCAGAAAAAAATATATGAAACTGTTTTTTGGGACAGTACCCCTCTTGTCACTGGATTGGTACCTTCAAGGGTACATCTGAGTATCTTCAGTCAGGGAACATAATTGTACCATAATCCATTGGAATTATTTATTATTTTTTAAGTTGTATTGGCTCCACACACCCCATCTAGTCTCCATGCTTTTTATTGTATTGTTCTGTTTTAAAACATTAGGTTATGAAAAGCTACAAATATGTAAATTTCACCTGGGTAAACTTATTTAAGGTCGACAATTGGACCTTAAAATCACTGTTGTACCTTTGAGGGTACCGTTACTTTGTTTGTACCTTGATGAATGAAAAATGTACCTGCACGGCACCTTTATTTCTTATTATAGTGTGCTGGATGGTAACTGTAAATACTGGAATTTCCTTAAGGGGAGCTTTGGAAATGGTTAAACTAACACATATTAAATCACAATGAATTCTTCACTTGTTTATTTCTTTGTATATTAATGTTAGTGTTTTGGGGACATACGGACACTTACTGCTCAGATAAATAGCTTGACAGATCATTTTCTCAGATGCCTGAGACTTTGCATAGTAGTATGTATATAATAATATCACTAATTATTTACAATAAGAAGTGATTCCAAGCTGAATGAATGTATCATGTGTGACACCAAATAGCCTTCTTAACTATGATACCCACCCATGAAGTATGACAGTACTATAATGAGCTCAGTCACCTAAACATTTCAGTGTAGTGTTCATTTCCATACAATGTTTTAAATACCTTGACATATAAAATTTAAGATCAGTGATACATTTAATCAGCTTGAGCCAAAACTACAAGTGTAAGTTTGTATGCACAAAAGTTAATTTATAATCTGATGTAAGATGCCTTCACTAGGAAGCAGAACCTATGTTTGTAAGCAAATGCTGAACGTGTCAATGTTAATGAAATTGGTTAGCTAGAGTCTGAAAATCAATGACGGAGATCATCTCAGGAGGTGGTGGATGAATTAGATATTTCCTGAAGGAGGGAAACAGCAGTAGCCAGCTAGTAAACTAGAGAGATCAGGTAATTAGAGGAGGCTAAAGAAAGACCTGCTGCTCTGTTGCTGAATTAGCAACATACTTTCTCTTTTTCTCTCAGCTCCATCCTTCTTTCCTCTTTTCATCCATTTTGCAGTTGTGAACACAAATCTCAATGCTGTAGGCTAGTTGAGTAAGTACACTGACTTGCCAGCAAGTTCTACTGGCCGGAAAATCTCCCGGGGGCTGATTAATCAAAACGGGGGGCCGGTCGCCTTGGGCTTCCCTTCACCATGGGCCATGGTGCAACTGCCCCCCTGGTAATTCTGCCACTGCACCCCTGCAGCCAGACTTTTTATTTTCCAGCTTTATGTTTTAGGTCAAAGCACTATGGAATAGTCATGTACATTTTTTTACTCCAATTAAAATCACTTCTGGTTTTCATGTTCACTGTACAAGCCAGCACACAGTATAATGCACCCTGATAAAAGAACAGTGACATAATTTTCCCCTTACCCCAAACGTACTCAGTCAACCAAGTCATGTTTTGAGTCTGAAGCATCTTTACATTTGCACTGCAGCTAAGAGGCTAATGTAGCTAGTAAATAATGAAAGCTTATACCCTACCATTAGCATTGTGCAAACTGTATGCATCAAAGCACATCGGGTATTTAGCGTCTTTCTGTAGACCCCCTTCTTCTGTGGTGGCAATTGTTGTGAATATTTTAACTAATATAATTAAACAAAAACAGATTAACTAGGAAACCATTGGCTCTCTGTGTGTAAAATGTTGTGAGTCTGTGTTGAGCTGCTAGTGAGCAATGAGGAGGGAAGGACCCCCTGCAATGAAAACAATCTATACTTCTCCACAAAGATTCAAACTTCAGCTTTCTTGATATCAAAAAACCAAGTACAACTTGCTCATGTATGAATACAAAAATCCAGTTTGCTTCTAGTTTTCACATTTTCATCAAAATATATTTCATCAAAGTTATTGAAGAAAAAAATACAGAGTTAAACTGAGGGACCTCCTTCAAATCAGGTGGGAATTGAATTATAAGGCTATTGTGAAAAAGAGTTAACCAATTTAAACAATGGATAACTGTACATACAATATGTAGGCTTCAGAATGGCTGCTACTACTGTTTTTAAGCTGTTTGTTCATTTAGACATGAAGTTGATGTAGCAATGCTAACTAGTGAGTTATAAGCTTCCATGAATTGTTAGTTACAGTAGCCTCAAAGCTCCAGCAAAACTAAATAAGCAAATGTCATACAACCAAAAGTAAACGCTGATGCTGGCTTGTAGGGATATTTATTTTGGCCCATAAGAAAAAATATTGCTTATTTTTCTTTTCTAATTTTATTTTTCAAGTACTTTTTAAAATAAAATATAGTGTAAAAAATTTGTGACAGCAAAATTGTGTCACTGAATGTAATGCTGATGTGGCAACACATTTGTAGATAGTAATTACAAGCTAATAGAGCATATCAGCCGGTAGATGGATCGTTGTTGATCAACTGCATTTGAGGTAAAATTAGTTTTTGTCAAACTACTTTTTAAAACTTTTATCTTTGAAAGGGAGATTTGATGATAAGCAATTTTTTTCTGATCTAGCCAGTTAGAGATGTTTAGGAGAGCTCATTAGCACGTAAAGTCCCAGCAGGGAATAGCTGCACTGGAGGGCCAGATTCTGCTGCCGTAATAAAAGAAGCCTTTAAACAACAACACTTTACCTCTTTCATGGTCAAATGATCACTTTTCACATTATATAATAAAAGCCCACTTAATTGACTGTTATATCTATTTAATCCCAGGTTGCAATGACTTGCAAGTAACACATATAAGCTCAGTATACAAACACCATGCTAATGAGATGAAGCTATGTACGTGGTGGAGATCGGGTACCTGTTCTCCATATGCTCAGTCCATCCAGTTCACTGCCAGCCATGTGGCGAACCTCTGTCTTCTCTGACATCTCGTGGTGGTGGAGGGGCTGTCAAGAGCAGACGTGCTGCAGATGGTGACTTTAAGGAGAAATGATATTATAAATGGTGACAGCTTGATTACTCCCAGCTCTGCTCTCTTTGTGTGAGAGAAGAGAGAGAGAGAGACAGAGAGAGCTGGAGAAAGAAAAAGGATGCTAATTGGGTGACAATGTGTATTGGAATGCACTGAAAGATAACTTCTTCAGACAATACCGAGGGTAACATCTTTTTCCACTCATTTCTTTTTCACTTCGTTGTTTCAGTTTTCTTCAGTGATCTTCTGCACTCAACATTTGTGTTTGCTGTTTACTTCATTAAAAAGGGTCTGCAGTTATTATTTGTCCTTAAGGTCTAAACTTAACTGTTTATTTGACTAGATCAAGCTAAACTCTTAAAAATAAACATTCCCAAAAGGTCCTTGGCTGGAATGTATGGTCCTGAAAGCAATTTCTAATTGGTGTAGAATGATTGTATGAAGACTCTTTAAAAAGGTTCTTCACACTCACACATCGCATTCACAAAAATTGTTAATGAAAGAATTTGCAAATTCTTTAAATAACAGAAAAAGAGTCATTTTGGATAACCAAAATAGGTTCAAGTTTGGCAGCACTGCTGAACATGGGGCCTGTAGACCGATGCTGGCCTGTAAGGATATTTGATTTGGCCCACAAGAAGTTTTCCTAACTTACTCCCTCAGTGTGAGAACATGTTATTACCCTCCTTACTTTTCTTTTAAAATTGCATTTTTCAGGTACTTTTAGCAACAAAACATACAGTATAATCTTATAAAGTATAAGGTAAAAATCTATAACACCATATAATTGTCACTGACTACAATGCAGATGTTACAACACATGTAGCTAGCAATTACAAGCTACACAGCTACATGGACAAGGGATTTAGAGACTACCAGTGTGAGTAACAGCATTTCATTGAAGGTGGAGGAGAGCGCCTTGTATGGCAAGAAACCGTTGGAATATTTAAAGAGTACACTTTCTCCAAGTATACTGGCAGCACACAAAAATGGAAAGCTAACATGCTGCTATCTAATTTTTCTTTTTAGCCCTCACCACAATTATTACACTTTGGCCCCCAAGACAAAAGGTTTGGTCACCCCTGTTCTATGGCATTGATCCAAAGTACCATTGTCAGCACCTTTATTTTTTAAAGGAGTCTTGCAGATTCTCTCGGTACTTTGGTACATTTTTCCACTGTACATCATACTGGAACTGGTTTGGCGCCAGAAAACTGGAACTGTGCGTGTTCAATGTCCATTTGACATCACTACAGTACCAAAGGTTCCAGTCTTGTGTTGTTTGGTAACTGCTCCAGACTGGAGTCCTGTCTGACCTGTCCTCTGTCTTTACTTGGAGCTAATGATGGGAAGTCAACAACAAAAGAGTAGATTCTTCAGCTTTGGTGCATCTGGGAGTCAGTGTCGACTCTTGGCTAGTGACTCTGAGAGTCCAGTTTTCAACTTGTAATTGCCTCGAAGCAAATTTTGCTTCCCATTTTAGCTGAAATAATTGTCTCATTTGATCTACTATGTGGGGCTACAACAATGTGTTTTTTGATTAAAAATGTTATTATTTTGCAAATTTCAGCATTTTTTTATAGAGACATTAAAGCTATAGGATATGAAATGCAACTTCTCAATGTTCATTTGTTTTTTATTAATATCTCAAACAAGCAAGTCACCATGTGGTTTGCTTCACAACTTTCCAAAAAAGGCAATACCCCACCCACCTTCACAAT